TATAATGCTAACATAAGAAAAATTGTTGAACTAGTCAATCTGTCATCTATGATCTTTTAAAATAATAAATTTTAGTGATTATCACTTTACAAAAAAATTGTATCACTGTAATTCACAAAAAAACAAGTAAAAGTACTATTTTTACATTTATCTGTGAAACCATTCCTGGACTTAAAAATACAAGAGGAGGGCGCCTGGGTGGCTCAGTTGGTTAAGCGACTGCCTTCGGCTCAGGTCATGATCCCGGAGTCCCGGGATCGAGTCCCACATCGGGCTCCCTGCTCAGCAGGGAGTCTGCTTCTCCCGCTAACCCTACCCCCTCTTGCGCTCGCTCTCTCACTCTCTCTCTCTCAAATAAATAAATAAAATCTTAAAAAAAAAAAAAATACAAGAGGAAAAAAAAAAGATTTCTCTATAAAGCTAATATATATTTATAGAGAAAAAACTCCAGGAATTAAGGGTATAAGAGGCATAAATATAACTAGAGAAATCCCAAATTCACAAAGACTAATAGTAAATAAAAAGTGATAAAACCATTCATCAGTAAAGAGTATATTTTATGTAAAATACCATGTAAAATTATAAAACCATTTCTAAGCTCACTCTGTATGACAGATAGTGCAAACATAAAAAGTATACTATACTAAGACATAATGACATAAAAAATGGAATGTCAAAGAAATGTGAAGCACTATGGTGAGATTACAAATTATTGTCAGGCAAGAAAATAGCATGTGTCATTCCATGTGAAGTGCAACGTTTTAAAAATGTTTAAAGAAACCTATGCTTACTTACAGATCTTTAAATAGGTCAAGGGATACAGCATGAATACACAGTGAATTCTTAGTTCCACTTACTCATTACTCAGTTAGCCTCTAGAACTGGCCTCCATATCTACTATACTTTTTAAAGCTGCTTTTTAGAAAATATCCTGGGTAATATCCTAATCAAACCACATCAACGCAGATCCTTTTCTCAGTCCTTACCACTCTGTTCTGAAGCAATGGACCTTATTGACCATCCAGTCTTTAATGCAACTAGCCACATGCCAATTCCAGTCTTTCACTCCTACCTAACTTCTCTTTCAGTGTCAAATCATTCCATTCTTCTTCCCTAACAATGGGTCACTCCTCAAGATTCTTACCTTGGACAAATTTTCTTCTCTCTGTTGCCTCTCTGACTCCAACCTAACTTGAAATATCATCTTAGGATATTTATGGATAATTTCCAGATCTCTATTCAAATCCTCTCTTAAAAGTTAAAATAACTGTTTGTTAAATATTTTTTACCTAGTTTCAGTCAGTCAACAAATGTTTACTGCATGGCTACTATGTACCAGACACTAATATTAAAAATGTATTCAGGGGCGCCTGGGTGGCTCAGTCATTAAGCGTCTGCCTTCAGCTCAGGTCATGATCCCAGGGTCCTGGGATGGAGCCCCGCATCGAGCTCCCTGCTCCGCGGGAAGTCTGCTTCTCCCTTTCCCACTCCCCCTGCTTGTGTTCCCTCTCTCGCTATGTCTCTCTGTGTCAAATAAATAAATAAAATCTTTTTTAAAAAAATGTATTCAAAACCTAATGAGAGTTCCTGTCATCAATGAGCAGAGAATCTAAATGGCAAACTAAACAGTCCAACTCATCAGGTCCAAAATTGACTATTCATGTTTCCTCTTCCAATGGATTAAATATATATTAATAGTTCCGGATTCTCTCTATTGCTCAGGCGATACTATGTGTCTCCTTTCTCAACTATATTCAATTGGTTGGCAAGTAAATCCTGTTCTTTATTTGCAACATTCTATTCCCATTGCCACAGCCTAGTTCAGGATGGTAAATATTTTCATCCAAACTTCAACAACCACCCTCTGAAGTGTTCTCTATTTTCTCATCTAACCCATCCTTCACTCAATTATCAAATTTTCCGAAGCCACAGATGTGATCCATCACTTAACTACATAAAAATGTTTCATAGTCCCTCAATAGACAAGTCAAAGTCCAAAAACTTCTTCAACTTGGCATTTAAGGTCCTCCATTATCTGGTCTTTACCTATACTTTTTCCTGTCACCCACTTTAACTTACCTTTTGCTCCAGCCAAACATGGCTTTTTAATCATATCCTGAAACTCCTTGAGTGTTCTCTATCTCTATATCGTCATTTGTGCCATTTCTCTCCTGCCAACCCCCATCCTGATTAACAGTTTCCATTCATTTCTACCTTTCAGAAGCTTAACCAACCTTTGGTTCAAGTAACATCATTCTTCTAAAACCATCTCTCCATGCCCTGAATTTATAATACATGTAAAGGTCTTTTATGTCACTTATACTTTATCTCTGTTATAGCTATCTGTGTATGTATCATATCATTCTTATTAAGGTTATATGCAACTTGAAGTATGAATGTCTTATTCATCTCTGTCCTCCCACAATACGTTGTACATGGTTGATATTCAATAAATACTAAGTATATTGAATTTATAATAAAATATATATTATAACCATGGCCCATAAGACTATATAGGAAGTTTTCTTCACTTTCTTACGGAGAAAAATCACTGCCACATGAATAATTTTTAAAATCACCTTATTTATTTCTTGGAGAGACTTTAAAAAGTGATTTTTTTTCCTACCATCTTCAGGGTACCCCTTATGTATATATTAATTGTTATAATTTCCTTGGCTCAGAATATGAAACTGCTTTCCAAGGTTTCAATTTTACGTTATTGCATGTACCTAGTGATCACACACTAAACCACATTACCAAGGAAGACAGCAGTGCAGAAGGAAATGGTCTGCCTGGAGGCTATCCCAAAACCATACCTCTGAGACAACCCAACTTTCTTTCTTTCTTTTTTTTTAAGCAAGAAGAGTACTCATAGTATAATTAGACTTCTCTGTTCCCAACTCCTCCAACCTCCATAATATCTACCAACCTGAATGTTCAGAGCCCATACTTTCAGGTTCATAAATTGAAAATAATAGATAGGTTTTTAAGTTCAACAGTGAATTCACAAAGATTTATTGAATATCTACTATGTGGAAAGCATTGTGGGGTACACAAAAATTAATAAGACATAATTTACATCTTCTGGAACTCATGACTAAGTGCACAACACACACACATAAACCACTCCATTATAAGGCAGATTATGTAAGTTCTAAAAAGCCTCCAACAAGGTACAGAGTGCTATGAGGAGACTTCTTTAATTAAAGAGTATCTTAGAAGCTTCAAATGAGAGATGGGTTTCTACCTGACCATTGTTTGAAATCAAGCAATAACATTCAAGATTTTGAAGATCAATCATTTTTAAATAAATTTAAGTATTTTTATTCATAAGTATTGCAACAGGACTGAATTTTTTTCCACTGAAAAGATTGACTCAACATGTAAGTTAAAATTTTATTTAAATGGATTTTTTAGCTCACCTTGAAACATGGATAAATGTATTTTACAAGCCAAACTTGTGCCCTATAATTAAGGAGAAAATTTTTGTATGTTCAAGGAAAATTCACAACGTGTCCAGTAATCTGAATTAATATTTATTTAAAATTCTACTCCTAGAGAAAAGCTAGGTAAATATGGGTCATCCAATTTTATATAAATTTGTTCAGCATACCAATAGTACATTAAAAGGGAAAAAAAACTGAACTGAAAATAAAATTCAGGGCCATAGATTCATTTTTCATTCATACCACCTCCTCCTGCAACACTAGCCTCTTCCCAATATATGGCCAAAGGTCTGAAACAGAGCTTGGAGCATCTGCTTTTCCAGTAAGCTCCATCGACACCATTTCTAGATTTAGATACTTCCTTGAGGATTCTGAGTTGTCATGACTGAACTCTAGACGTGTTGAGCACTGTATTGACAGATGAAAGAACCACATTCATTTTAGGCTTAAAATAACTTGCACGGAAGGGGTGGGAAAGTCCAAGTTGACAGATGCCAATGGAGCAAATTTTAAAAAGAGGAAATTATGATAGGAGTGGAAGCAAACTTGTTACATGTAGAAGTATGGCATTCCAAATTGCTACTATTAAAAAAATTCGTCTTTTAATTACAGAACTCATCAGACATTTTTGTAATTACTGAACTTAAGCAATACGTTATGAAAAAAAAATTAAGATAAATCATATGTAGTTTTAGAAAATACATTTGCTTTTAAATATCTCACCCCAAACAGTTTCTTGAGATTAACCATCCATACAAAGGAACTAAAATCAGATTATGTAGATTTAGGCAGGGGAAGCTGGGAAAGAATAACTAACATGTAAGTTCGGTAACACGTTACAGGGTGCGTTTCCTCCTACAGTAGACAGGCGAAGGAACCAAAAAAATGGGTTGAGCACAGGAATATTGCACACTGTAGTCACCCAACACTAACTCAACAGCTAGCGGTTCTATCCATCCTTCCTCACGTTCCTCGTGGCCTCTGACAAGTCATCCTTTCAACCTATGAGGCTGTCCGTTCTCCCCCATCAAAAATAATTTCCATGCAGGTTGTACAATCGCCCTGACAAACTACTTGCTCGCACTTCCCCGCCTCGGGATGAACAGTCCCCAAGATGGGGAAAGGTCGCCCTGACACGGAAGTTACACGAAGTGTTCTGTCTCGCGGTCCGACCGAGCCTCCACACCAGCAGACGCCGGGGAAAGGAAGAGGGTGGCCTCCGGAGAAACGGGGATGGAGCAGAGGATGCTAGCCCGCGAGGCAGCCTCCGCGGTGCCCGGGCACCGGCTCGGGCAGGAAGAATGGAGGAGGGGAGGCGCGGCAGCGAGGTGCCCGAGAGCCGGGCGGCGGTCCGACCCCACCCCGCGCTCGGGACCCTCCCAGCCCGGGGACCGGCGTGCGTTCCGCGTGCGCCGCCTCTCCCCGGAGGAAGAGCCACTGTATTACACCGTGGCTTTGAGAAATCCGGCAACTTTGCGCGAGAAATGCTTCCCCTGCAACACGCCGAGAAAGAGAAAAATGTCAGGCGATGACGGGGGAGGAAGGATGACTTACCCATGTTTCTCCCAGAGGGTGAGGAGCCTGCAGGGCGAGGCGAAGGTCTCCGGTGCGGGCGGCACGGCGCTGTGTCCTCCCTCTACCTCTGTCTCTCCCGCAGCCAGGGAGGGACCCGCGGGGGACGGCCGCCGGGGAGGAGCAGCTGCTGCTGCTGCTGCTGCTGCTGCAGGCGGCGCGGCC